GGTCTAGTTTATGGGGAGCCTTGGATCGACAAGGGTAAGATCACGGGTGGCGCCGGTTGGGTTTTGAGTCGTCCCGTACCTTTTCTTGCATCGTGTGTCATTTGCAAGGGTGAGGTTATCCATGTTCAGAGCTTCTAGAAGCTCTTCAGAAGGGCAGAGGGGGGGAATCATACTTTTGGTTGATATTGGTTTTTCAGCTAGGTGCCGTTATAAAAAATACAGCCATTAGCATCCGTCCATCCACGCAACAAAAGTGTCCAGCACTAGCCTCCTTCCTGCCTTCGATCACGCTTTCGTACCTTGTGAGCCTCGGGCGTGGTCGCACAGGTGAAGGACGACGGAAGGCAACCTGCGCTGCTCGAGGCCAGGCGTCCGAAAGAGACGTGCCTTGCCCACCCATTCAGTCGCCCATTCAGTGACTAGAATAATATTTATATTTTATTGGAAAAATTGAAGGTACTGTGGGTGGCTCTCAAGACGTCGGCTGCAAACATTTGCCATCCACTTTCAGCATCTTTCCCAATTTACACTTTTGCAATTTGATACCTTGCCTGTAGCCTGATATGAAGGCTGCAAACTTTGGCTCTGTTGTCTGGAACTCATGGCTGTATCCCTGTGCGTATACATTTCTGAAAACCAGCCGTGACAATGTGTCAACAAAATACTCAGAATCTGCATACTACACACGTAACATTTTCTTTTTCCTTTCTTTTTGTGAAAATATGTTTGTGGAAGTCATTGATGTCGCATTAGCCGCCATTGTGATTTATTTATTTATTTCCAAATACTGCGACCTCAATGGAGGTAATTGCAGGAGTGTGGAAAAAGAACACAATAAAGTACAAAGGGATGAGATATGCAGAACAATATACAGACAAAATCCCCCTAAAATTAGCAGACAAAAGAACAGTCGCATATTAAACAAAAGTAATTGTTGAAATTTATGAAACAAAAGCATCATAGGGGAGCGTACGAATTGACCCGTCTAGTTTATTCCGAAGTGTTATTGTGCGTGGGAAAAAAGAATTTTGAAAACAGTTGATGTGAAGCTGAAATGGAATAATGTTTAAAGGATGTGAATGTCTTGTGCATGTGCTAAGTGAGAAGGAAATGTAGTTAGTAAGTTTAATGCCACAATCCTCGTTAGCAATTTTATGTAAAAGTCTTAGTCGCTCAATAGTACGCCCGAAGGAAAGAGAATCAAGCCCCAACGATAACATAAAGGTTGAAAACGAAAGAAAAACAAATCTAGAAATAAATTGGATGGCTTTAGCCTTAATCGAATTAAGCAGATTAATATCTCCTTTTAAATAAGGGTCCCAGACTATGGATGCATACTCCAAAATAGGCCTAATAAGTGTTTTACAAGCTAGCAAGTTGAGTTGTTTCGACTAAGATTTCAGCGGTCGTTTAACATATCCCACGCTTTTAAGGGCAGGGGAAGATAAAATTAACGTGGTTTTCTCAATTAACTTTAGGTGTAAATATAATTCCTAGGTATTTAAACTTCTGAAACTCAATTCAAATTTCCTCATTACACCCATAGCGAAAGGCTAAAGGGGCCATGCAATCATATTTAAGCGTCTACCTTTTTTGCGGTTTCCACGTCTCTTGGGGTTTGTGCAAGCCAGCGGGCACGGAGAGAGTGACTAAATATCAGTGCATCATATTTTAACCGGACGACATGGAAACCTTTTCCACCGACGAGGGCGACCCTCGGTACCGAAAGCGCGCAAAATGTGGTGACGTCTTTGGACCTGGGCTTACTACTGGTCAGAGTCACTAAAAGCTTCTTTTTAGTTGAAATACAAAATATAAGTGGCGCGAACCGTTTCAATTATTCATAAACATAGTTTTTGTTCAGTATTTTAGATCAGAAAATAAACAAATGCAGTTCATAAAGTACTGAAACAGGAAATGACGTGTCGGCATACCCGCCACCAAGCAATGGAAAAGGCGGCACATACTAGAAAGGAGTAGGGGGATCAGGCGCCGACACGGAAAGGTCCCGGATGTATGCGGCGGCGTTCCGAAGGCCTTCGGCGAGAAGCTTTGTCTTGCGGTTTGGCCGTTTCGCAGTATGGCAGTGCAAAGTGGCTCCCATTCTGAACTGATCTTTACCCCTTGTTTGCTCTCGTTTGTGGCCATTGAAGTGTTATGCTGAATTAGTATTTAATCACGCAACAAATGCAATGAGAGCCGCTCTGGCTGCCCGCTGCATACAGCCTATCCAGAACAGTGGCGCCCTCTCGCGCCGTCGACACTCAGTGCGGAAGCTGTGAGCGCTCACCAAGCTCACTACCCTTCCTCTAGTTTACGGCCACTCTCATGCAACGCAAGCAACGTCATGAGGGAGATTATTTTTTGGTTGTTTTTGTAATTTTAATTTGCCCATAACTTTTAAAATAAAGGGAATTTCGAGAAAAGAAAAGTTTCACTAAGTTACTACGTTCACATAATTGAATAAAACAGCGCGAAGATAGAAATAGGAAGAGACACACCAGACAGGCAGCGCTCTGTCCTGTCTGGTGTGTCTCTTCCTATTTCTATCTTCACGCTGTTTTATTCCATTATGTACAACGATTACCAACTAGCCCACCTTTCAACCTTAGTACAGTTACTACGTTCAGTGCGCTCAGGCTTGGTGCAAATTAAAAACCTGTAAGAAAAGTCCTTGCAGGGCCCCTTTAAAGGTGATTTTTTATTTGTAAACCTCATAAACACAGTCTTTTCAAAATTATCTCAAAAATTATTTCAAAATTTTAATGGCAAAGCCATCAAAATTGATGGCCTTGCTGGTGAGCATACACCTTCTGCAATATTTCCTACCACCATATTAATTTTCTCGGCAAGAACAAGTGTTGAGGGGTACCATTAGACCATTTGCTATATCTTCCAAGCGCCCCGGCCCGCGCTAGAGGAATCATGGGAACTGTGTTCCTTGAGCTCTTTAGTGATCATTAATTTCGACCCAATCCATGGTTACACAGGTTTTGAGAGTAATTTGTTGTCACCCTGAACAAGCGCCTGATATACCCCAAGGACCTGTGATATTGCTTTTAAAATTTCTCCTCAAAGTCACCGTTTTTGAGACAGTGCATGCTGTTCACCGTTCAACCTGGATGGGCGCTGCAGAAACCTCTTCCATTATTATCATTCTCGTACAGCTCCAAAGACACTGATTTTAAGTTAGAAACGCTACAAATGCTATAAATAGCCCCGCTAACTCCAAGCTAAATCCTGGTTTTTGTTGTTGTGAATTCTCGGCTTTTTAAGCAATTCATACTAAAACAACAATCACGAGAATGATAGTATTGTAAGAGATTTCTGCAGCTCAGCCAAGTTGAAAGTTGGATCGCATGCACAGTGTAAAAAATGTTGACATTGACGAGAAATTTTAAAAGTGATATGACAGGTCCTTGGGATATATCAGGCGCTTAGTCAGGGTCACTCCGAAATATGCTCAAAAACTGTGTAACCAAGAACAGGGTCGAAATTAGTGATCACTAGGGAGCTGAAGGAACACCGTTCCCATGATTCCTCGAGTGCGGGCCGGGGCGTTTGAGAATATGGCAAATGGTCTATGACGTAACGTGGAAGCCCTTGAAAAAATTGACGAGATTTTTTCCACTGCAAAATTAAGCTATGCATCGGCGAGCACTCAGTCTCTTCCTGTATGTAGTGCTAGCAATCCAAACCAGATGACAAAGTTTCAGAACCAACCGTTACCTACAGGGTGTTTCAAATAGCGGCCAGGCTCCTTAAACCGGCAGCAAAAATGAGTTTCTTAACCTATCGCGCTACAATTTTGTGCAGCATTGCCCACAGGTGGTGCATATTTTCTATAAAATTTGCAAAGACCGAACTTACCCGAAGAAAAAGTGAAAAAAGGAAAAGGCTTTACTCCTATGGAAATGCAGCAAAGCCACCGGTCTTCAAACAACCGGGCGCCTTATTGATTGAAGACCGGTGGCTTTGCTGCATTTTCATAGGAGTTAAGCCTTTTTCTTTTATTACTTTTTCCTGGGGTAAGTTCAATCTTTGTAAATTGCAAATTTTATAGAAAAAATGCACCACTTGTGGGTGATGCTGCACAAAATCGTAGCGCGTTAGGTTAAGAAACCAATTTTTGCAATTGATTGAAAGACCTGGTTGCTATTTGAGACACCCTGTAATTAAAAAAATGCATGTGGTCTTCTGTAAGTCTCAATGGGAAAGTGGCATAATACATGGAGCTGAATGACGGCAATAGTCTTGTTTTCCCGTCTATATTTTCAGAAAACCACCTCTAACTTTTTAATAAGATGAGAGTCAGTTTAGAGACTCTGGCATCTGGTTCGAACCTCAGTGCTATTTGGGCAGATACTGTCCACTCGGCAGTGCATCATTGCTGCAGTGAAAAAGAGTGTAAATTCTTTCGGGGTACACACTGTTTGTTAATATGATTACTAGATTATAGCTGTAATGATCAGGCTTTGTGTGGTTTGCATTTTAGGTTTGTAAATCTTGAACACTCGGCAATGAAGCTTAGACCATACGTTTTATACGCATGAATGCACTGTAACATCTTCCCTGTTGCTTGCATGAGACCTGGTGCAATGATGCCTGTACAGCATCCTCCAAAGTATATATCTCTCTATTGCAAACTATATATGATTGCTGATTACATTAATGGGAAATCTGGGTCGAAGAATCGCAATCTTTTGCAAAAAAAAAATTAGTTTGGGATTTTATGGTGTTTAATAACCTTTGATTCATATTTTAATTTAAAAATAATAAGAACTAGTTATGAAGTGAAATTTGTGAAATAAGCATTGTAAAAATTGGCACCCCAGAACTGCATAAATTTAAGCCATTTTTGTGTGCGCGGTTCTTCAAATTGTTGTCGTTGCCACCACATTGTCTCCGCTCTGTTGCAGTCTTGTGCAGCTACAATAGACCCTTTCTGGAATTCAGACTGGCAACTTTGATCACTATCATCATCTGAAAAATGGCATATGTGCTTGACTAATGGCGGCCTTCTGTTTAGTGATGAAGGAAAAAGTTGAAGATGCTCCTAAGCAGTTGATTCGACGCCTATACAGTCTAGATGCTAACTCGACGTGAAGCAGGAATCGGATGCAAGAGCTGCGTAAGCTTTCTATTCTAACTCGGGCCCAGTCAATCTATTAGTAGCTTACACTCGGCTTCAAAGCCCCTTCATGTATAGAATTTTATCAAGGCATCTATGTGGGCTAGCTCTTCGTTCTGACTGGTTGCTTCTTTTTCATCATCGACACTGAAAGAGATTTAAAAAGAACTGGTAGGTGACGCCCGCATTCTCATCTACCGTTGACTTGCGAAAGTGACGGTGCCCCATACAGTACTGCAGACCACAGGTTTATCGCCGCCAATAGTACGGTAAAAATTAAACTGCCGTTTGAGTCACCAGATGGCACTGAATCCCGGAAAGGGTCTATTGCTCACATAAAATTATTAACAAAAAAATTTTTTCAACTGTGGAAGAGGTCGCTACGCATCAACGCTAACATTCAAACATGTTTTTCTCTTTATGTAATTTTGGGGCATCTTTACAAACAAAAATTTTTGTTTTTAATATTGTTATGGTGCCTGCATCACGTCTCCGACTGGTGTGTTTAGCGTCCTATCCTGCCCATACATCGAAAGTGGTCCCCAAGTGGCCACAAATGACGTCACAGACGCCGGAGTGTCATGCTGTTGCCTGTCGCGATCCTCACGGTTGGCCGTGGAAATGCTGGCGAAAAGCACAAGCGAACGCGAGTGTCGCTGTCGTCACGGCGTCCCAAGCGTCCCAACTTCTTTCCTGCTACCGTATGTTCCGTGGACTGTCACAGTGGAAAGCGACCTGCAGCAGAACAGGCGTCTGCTACAGACACCACGGCTGTTGGGACGCCGCCAGGGTCGCGATCGGCGACAGCATGGCACTTTTATGACGTCATCAGGTAGAAATCAAGGGACCTCTTTTTTGGACGCGGTAAACACACCAGTCGGAGACGTGTTCCAGGCACCATAATATTGTCCTATACAACCAAGTTCGGCATGCGCATGCTTTAGAATATATGGATTGCAACTATCTAGGTTTGGTTAGAATGTATATTTTTTTATATTTAAGAAAACATAAAAAAACTGTTGTTAGCCGTTTGAAAGTGGTGTTTTCAATGTTTTCAGGTGCTTTAAAATAAAATAAGCCTACCACACATTATTTTTGTTGTTCATTACACACAGCTGTTTAAAAGGAGCAAATTAGTGTTTTTTTACAAGGCTCTTTTTAGTGTTGCCAAGCCCCACGTGAGTGCAAGAACATGGTTTTTTCCCGCATGTTTAGAGCATCCAGAACATAAAGAACAAGCTATATCACAACTAACGGAAGATTTATATCAAGGAGATCAAGCATTATAAACTGTGGAAGTTTAATTCAATTCTATGAAATAATGAAAAAATGGTTTTCCCTGGTGCATGTCCCACATTTAGCAACACACTAAACTTTTTGTGGTAAGAGGAATATGACGGCTGTCCTTCATAGTCGGATCTAAGCGTCCCGCATTTCTTAGATCTTGCAGAACAAATTTATTGTTAATATGGGTACACCTAAAGGGTGCCAGCCATATAGTTCTCTCATATTTTGTATCGTGCAAGTCCTAACTCCTTTAACAGTTAGTATTTTAACCGTACTGGCACTGCAAAACAGAACAGGTTGTTTTGAGACACCTTCAAACTCTAAGTCAGGTGGCACAGGCTGTCACCCATTGCCAAGCACATAGGCATTTTATTTCTATCATTCATTATAGATATCTCAAAATGTCCAAATCCTTGGTGTCTTTTGTGTATTATTTTCATAAGTGTCTGACTAGCTTGATGTGCTTGGAGGGTGTGCTCACTTTGTTCTTAATTGCTGTCATTGCTCATTGCATTTGGTTCCTAGCATCTCAAGTGGACCCGTGCGTCCATCTTGATCTTGCAAAACTCTCCACGAACCAGACCTCGGGCAGCAATTCGAATGGAACCGACTCAATCCTCAATTCGTGGTGAATTTTTTTTGTTTGTTTTCATTTCTTTTGTAAACAGAGGACAATGTCTAGACTACAGGCGGTCATACTTTAGAGCAGCGCTTCTTGTACAGCTGTAAAGAGACCCCTTGGGGTCTGTGCCAATTCGGAGATCCTTCACTAGGGGAGCAAAGAGGCCAGATGGAAATGTGCAGGGTGATTGGGTTTTTCTTCGAGGCGATGGAGGCAATTGCAGCGAAATTGTATTTGAGGAGAGGTTCGTGGCAGCGGCGAATTAACGTTGGGCAAGCTAAATGTTAGGCTCCTATACATGATGGGTGTGTAGATAGAAGATGGGAAGTGTGCTGTCTACCAGGTACTGGGCTAATGCTGGAAAAGAATGAAGAGGAAAAATTCAGTTAAAGGCTGACCTGCAAAATATTTTCCAACTAGGATGAAAATCCTTCTCGCCACCCTTCCCATTTCCCCCTCTCCCGCTGCTGTCCTTACGGCAAGGGAAACTTTTCTTATTGCTGTGTCTTGGGGCTGGATAAGCGGGGGAGCTTATCTCAGCTCATCTAGCCCCAACATGCAGCAACAAGAGGAGTCCCCCTGCAGTCAAGTTAATAGCGAGAGAGGGGAAAATGGAAAGGGTGGCAAGAAGGATTTTCACCCTGGTTGAAAAATGTTTTGCAGGTCGTCCTTTAATGGGACAATGAAGGCTATTTCGGAACTCTTTTTGGCGATTGAACTGGGTTCCAGGCATGTCTCAGGCCACGTTGTCCAAATTTCAGCCGAAACCGGCGCTTGTGTGCCGCACAAATCAATTAAACATTCGCGGTAATAATCGCACCGGGATCGACTGTTGGCGACGCCCCGAGAGTTGCTGGAGAAGCCAAGAGAAGCGGAGCTCACGTGACCGATGCGGGGCCAAGGAGCGTGACGTCACAAGAGACGCGTCAGCGATTGGTCGAAACGAGAGACGTGCCCTCGGTCATGTTTTGGTTCGTGATTTTTAGAAATACTGTTCCAATTTCCGCTTGAATAACCATGAAAAGTATAAATCGAACCGGAAATGATTATTAAACCGTAAATAAACCAGCGTAATTGTTTTTTTCTTTGCTACGCTGGAGGCGAAACGGCCAACGAGCAACTATGGGCACTTCGGCATGCGGGTCGCCCGTTACCGGCTGGGCGATCTCCGTCGGGTGGTGGCGGAGACCGCCACACACATACTCCCGTTCTGTTAGTGTTGGGTCACTGAACCGAAGCTCGAACTCGCTCGCGAGAGCAGCATTTCCGCCCATGTCAACAGATTCGACGAAACGACTGCTCGATTGCGCCACCGCGCTGCTTATAACCCACCGCGGTAACCAGAGTCTCGATCTCCTAAATACTACCAATACAGACTATTCACACTTGACGTCACTCCCTACGTCACCTCCGTTTTCGGAGGCCCCGAAACGAGAATGGATATTGTTCAGTTTCGGCTTCTTCAGTTCTTTCGTAGGCACAGAAATATGCATCACAAATGTCTACAAAAAATTAGGCAGCATGCTATGTTCCCAAGAAGCATAAAAACACCATTTAAAATATTAAATAAAATTGTCTTCATTGTCCCTTTAAGAGTGCAGTGAAGGAAGCTGAAAGAGATATGATAGAGTTGAGATTGGAAAAGAAGCCTACTGTGCAGAAACATTTGGATTAAGAAAAGATAACTTTTTTGACAATTCAAAAAGAAGTTTGCTCTCTGTGTGGCAAAGGCGGGTACTGAGGGCTGGGACTTTTAGGTCAAGATCTGAGGAGGCAGATAGAAATTGTACACTATGGGGACAAGCAAAGGTAACAGTGGAACATTGTAGGTATGGTAAGTCTGGTACATACCCAGACTGAGGCAGACTTTTTCATTGCTTTGGGATTGGAGGGGTTGATGAAGGAATAAGTGGTTTCCAAAAGATTAAGCAAACTAAGATTGCTAGAGAAATGGTGAAAACGGCTTAGGAAGGTGACAAAAAAGAAAAAAAGAACAAGAACAAAATTTCGTTATAATTTAGGCAGAGTGGCTCAAAGGTTTGCTCGAATCGAAGTCCTCTGTCCCAGTTTATCCATGCACCCAGGATAAGAAAAGATTGTTAAGCCGAGAATCTTTACATTTAAATTTCCCACAATGCTGTGTTGCTCGTTTCCAACAGCCCGTCTTCCATTTCCAGCTGGTTTCCTCTGAAACCAGAGAAAACTGGATAGCACTGGACAAATGGTAATGGTAACCGTTACCCAGGGTGCAACTGCTCTCATGGGCTGATGACCATCATGTGAAAAGGCAGAGCTTATTGCCTCTGTTGAGCATTATTGGCATTCATGGTGCTCGAAGTGGGGCAAATCTTATCATGAGTGGCACTTGAGTGCATTGCCGTGTGGACCCAACAATGAGGTAGAAGGGCTCGGAGCATCTTAAAGTTTATTTTTTGCCCACTGCCACCAAGTATGTGACATAGCAAGGGTTCTGCTTTTGTAAGGTTATTTTTAAGTGAAACCGGAGTGTGTTCTTCTGGGTTTAGTTTTTACCTGAAATTCAGTTTTCTGGAGATTTCATTTATCGTCCATGAAATTCAGAGTTTTTCTTTTATGGTGAAACATACTTTGGGTAGTTGCTCCAGATTTCGTGAAGCCATGGCCCACAATAGGAATATCATAATACATATTTATATTCCTAACGAGCGTGCTGGTACGATGCACTAGATAACAGAAAGTTATCTAGTGCATCGTACTAGATAACAGAAAGTTATCTCTGTTTTATACTTTCTGTTATCTAGTACATATTTATGTATCTCTTTCTGCATTAAGCATCATGTATTTGATTCTTTTGAAGAATTTAATTTATTATCCCTCTGTTTCTGCACATGTCGTGTATTTTTCTTCAGATCTATCATGTGATCACAAAGTCTTTTATTGCATACTCTGCAGCCAGGGTTTCGCACTGCCAAACAGCGAACGAAAAATGTTTCTGCATACTCAACAGCTGGCGTATTTTCGAGTATTGTCCTCCCGTGTCGGTCTGAAGTGGTTATGCAAACTTCATAAGTGAACTTATTGATGATAATAAAAAATATATTTCATTACTGACTTAAGATTTGACAACAAAAATAAAAGGCCGATAAGCCTTAAAGATAAACATCATAAGTAAATGAACACCTAAATTATCTTAAAGATGTTCCGCAAAATCTTTGCGGCATTTTTATCTTCGACAGGCACGTGTATAAGTGATTTAAAAGAACCTTAAACAAATTTTTGATTTTGAAGCTGATTTAAATAACTCTGTGTTTCTGATTCTTGGGGATACAGCCCGTTCGTTGAAAGATAATACGTAATAGGTCAACTCTTAGCAGGGCAATTCGTCAAAAAGGACAATTCATCATAAGGCGATTGATGAGAGGGACAACTTGTCGAAAAACCAGAGATAATGTTTGAAGATCTTGTACCAGCCTTTTTAGCATTCAGTCGCTTTTGTTATTCAGCTTCTGTGTAGTGTCCTGTTTAGAAAGTGTAGTCTTTTGTTTTCTTTTAGGTTGATAAACATTTTATTCACCTTGGAAGCATAGAATAGAAACTTTCTGGTCTCCTTTGTAATCCACCTCCACATTTTCTCAGCGCATGCATGACACAGACAGGGACTGCACATGTGTGACCGAAACGTTTGCCATCCCTTTTTTTTTTGTTAGTGACAGAGGTGCCAAAATTGTGGTGGACAAGACACAATGATTTGGTATCTATTATAAATTAGTAAAAGTCTAATTTCGTGTGTCAAGAAAAAAAGTAATTAAATAAAAAAAGGGAGTCTCTGGTAATTGTACGCACCTGGAAGAACAACTATAATATACCGAGGAAGCGCCCAGCCCACTTTCACTGAAAACCCGGTTAATCTAGAAATGGGCACTTGTCCAGTCAAATCGGTAAAAATCAAGATGACGATCAATAAAGAGCTTTGAATTTAGGGAGGGTGAACGGTATCGGAGAAAGCACATTTACTTTTACATGATGAATGATGGGGTCTGCGTCATCATTTATCATGTGAAAATAAATAAACTAGTACCTTTTCATTCTCACTGAACCCAGAAAACAACTCTAGTGCAGAATAGGGGCCAATGCTCTCATCACAAGTAGTTTTTCCCTTTCATCTCAAGAAAGCGGATATCCCCATCATCGCCGCTGGCAATCTGGTGGCAGCTGCAACGAGGTGAATATTTTCGCCTGATGACGGCGCTTTGGAGAGAGTGGGCGCTTAATGTATGTTTTGCAGAATTCCCAAGTTTGGCAAATGTTAATAGTGGGCGCTTGTGTGGTTTTTACGGTATGCTCGATAAACATCAGAAATGATACAAATATTAGAAATATCTGATAACAGTTTGACGAATTGTCCTAGTGCCCTATGTGACGAATAGCCCTGCTACCAGTTGGCGTGTGATTAATTGTCTTTTGACACATGTATAGCTTCTCAAATACATAGAAGTATGCTATTGCCTCTTTTATGTGATGAGCAGCAACCTTATCTATGTGTGTGGGCTGGAGGAAAGCAAAGTACACAGGGGTGCGTGGCGGAACTATGGCAATTATGCACACATGCCATGAGAAAGTGACTAATTAAGTAGCTGCCGTGTTGAGTAGAGCATTAAATTCTACTTTGTTCTATTTCACAGAAAATGCCCGATTAGCAAGGGGGGTGCTAATTTGCAAATTAAATTGACCGGTGTCTTGTCATGCACATACCATAACAGCCAGGCTATGTTGTTGATATTTTATGAGAGAATGTTCGTTCGGGCTCGCACTTTTTTAGGCCAGACTCGCTTTGAGTACGAAGGTGTGTATAGATTATACTAAACAATTTGTATCACTCCTTTCTGCATGATTCTTCTCCAGCGTAACATTAATGAGTATAAACAATGTTGTTTAAGGAAGCGAGAGCTGCAATTGCCGCTCAGTGTTCCTATAAAAGGCAGACTGAAATGGCTCGTCCTTAAACTTTTGAGACAGTTTGAAAATATTATTGATTTTAGCTCAGTTGTGTCATCATAAATATTGTTCAACTTATTTCGTAAACTATATTACTCTATAGGGCAACGAGATGGTCTTTTCGCGATTTTATGCACTGTAATTAATTGCTTAGTTCTTGAGCACAACTACGATCCATTTTTTAATACTGCGACGCAAAGTTGTACCAATCGCGTGTATTTTTGTCAACCTACCACACTTTGTGACACCCTTTCGATTCAGCTAAAATAGATGTGACTGAGGTAAATAAATGGATGTTGGGTTGTATAAACACAGCGTTATAAATGTCAGTCCAGATTTTTTTTTTATTGCTGCGTAAAAATTAACTAACGCAATTTCTTATTTTTGGTACATGAAAATAAAAGTAGACTTTACGAACAATAAAAAGAAAACTACATAGATAGTTACTCGTTTCACGGTGAAAATATAGCCGTTTGCCAAAACAATGGGAAAAATAATTCTCAATTTAGCGTTCCAAATTGGTTTGAACCATTGTCTTTGCTCCCTGCGGAACTTTGCCGAAAGCCGTCAACCCGAACCCAAAGCACCAAGAAGCATTCTGCGAGGGTAGTTACACGCAGCGCATCTGCTGGAGTCTGCAGCCGTAGCTGTTTTAAAGCAAGAACCTTAAACAAATATGCCATCTCGTTTGTGCGTTTGTAAAAGCCTTATTTTAGTCATTTACTTCAAATCTTTTATACGGGGAAGGCGAGCATGGAGGGCGTCTTTACCTATATTCCCAGCATTCTCGTTGATGCTAGGGTAATTTAGCAATACGTCTATTACTATGCCTGGCATCATCTATTTTATTTTGAGCTACGTTGTCGATCCTCGCGTAGCACTGTGGAAGCTACACTAGGCTGCACAATGTAGCACGAAATAGTTGACACAGAGTATAGGAGCAACGATTAGGTCTCGTAAATATTGGGCACTCGAGTATCAAAGTATATGTCACTCCATTGTAAACTAAATGCTAGTACCGTGGAAAGGGTTTAGCAGCGCTCAAAACATTTGAAGGGACGAACTGACAGCTGTGATTTGACAGCGGACATTGCGTTAAAACTCACCGTGGCTGACGTTACTCTGAAGGGTACGTATTTGTTTACTTATCAGCGAGTTCTAGACCTGCCTTCTTTGTGTGTTTGCGGCCTGCCTTCAGCTTAGCAAGAAATATTCCTCATTCCCAGCTCTGAACTCGGTTACGAGAGTGGAGGGTGACCAGACGTGTTAACGCACCACAGCTCGGATAACGTGGATGAAAGCTCGTGCTGCAGAACCCGGGGATCCAGGGTTTAATTCCCGCCCCTGCCAGCTTCAATCTTTATGAGCATCTTACCGGCGTCCGGTCGTGTGTCGCCACTGCCCGATGCACGTTAAAGGCCCATACGCACATTCGCGTTTGAGCGCGGTGCGTTCCGTAGCAGCAAGTGGACGCGTTGCGTTGCGAAGACCGCTTGCGCCAAACTTGTACGCACAGTTGTGTTGACACGCAGTCAACCGCAGTCAAGAGCCAATAAGAACGCGCTATCGTCTCTAGTGGCTCACCAATGGTAAGCGAAATCCAAGGCAACATGGCGGCGCACAGCGACAGCGTCGAAGTAATCGATCTTGGGAGAATCTCGCCGGCTTCCCCGACGTTTTGTCAAGCTTGAACCATCGCAGCCTTGGAAAATACAGTCCCCACCGCTCCCCAAAACGAAAAAGCAAGCACTGCGACTGACGAACCGGATACGTCTTGCCGAGTCGGCCGGGTGGGGCGAGCGAACATGTCACCCCCTCTCCTCTTTCGGCTTCTGATTGGTCGAACGCACCGCAACGCTTCGGAAAGTTGAGCGAGTCTCTACTCACTTGCGTCGCGCTACCGAGCGTTGCGGGAAGGCGCTCGTCGCTCCGCAAGCGACCGCGCCTGGCCGCAAGGACTCCGCAACGCACTCAAACACGTTCAAACACGAATGTGTGTATGGACCTCAAGGACCCCAGGCTAGCGGTTGTACTTTGCTGGCAGAATTTATTATTTAGAGTAGAGACGACAGACACCCATTGGGGCTCACTAACCTCCCGCTCACTTAACGTTCAATATGGTTACAGTTATGGGAGCCTCGTGGGAAAGGGCTTGGCTTCAGTGAGACGGCGTTTGGCGGGTGCCTTTGGAGCCTGACCCCATCCAACACTTCGTATGGAACCGAATCAGTCTTCAAGTCACGGTAAGTTCATAGTTTCCACCTATTTAATAAACGTAGAAGAGTGGCGGTGGCTTGATTATGGTCGGTCGTAGTCTAGGGCAGTTCTTGTACAGCTGATTCCAAACCGCTAGGGTTCATGCTAATTCTGAGATCCTCCGCCAGAGAGGCGTTCTCAGCAGGGTCGAAATAGAGTTTCCTTATAGGTACTCATAGTTGCGCGTCTGTTTTCTACGTGCCGCCGCTCTGATATTCACCGAGATCAATCATGTGAGGAGCAAAGAATCCTGCGCCATGCAGGAAAGTCGGTTCCCCAATGTTTCGCGCACGCGCACCAGCGTTTCTTACTCTGCTTTTGCCTCCTCCTCCTCCTTCCCTGTTTTCCAAGTGCAGTGCCGCTATTCGCTGTATTCAGTCACGTGACCGGCCGCAATCGACGGAGCACGGCTCCTAGACGTGCGGGAAGCGGCTTTGCCGCACCACTTAGGATTTCAAGGTAGCTTAACGTGCAACTCTGGCTCCCGGCCTGTACAGAAAGTTCAAATCCCAGAAAAAGATGTGCATGGTGAAAAGTGTTGGGCTTGGAGAAGACGAAAGCAACGAACTACAAATTTTACAGGACGTTCATGGCAGTGGTGAGTGAATGTTGGGCAAGTTAAGTGTTAAGTTCCTGCATGTTGTATTCGGGGCACTTCTGGCCCCTTGACAGGGTTCGAAAATCCTTTCCATTTCGGGTATTCGTCTGATGCTTTTAAGAGGCAACATCTTAGTAAAGTTTTGTGTTTTGTAATTCAATCGGTGTTTTGTGGTGTTCTGCGTGATGGTGGTTACGAAGATGCCATAGTGCTTTGGGGTTGACTGCATGGTTTTGATTCGAAGGATCTCCATGAAATAAAAGACTCCGCAGGCCGTGGCCGTCGAGCGTAGCACTGGGCTCAATTGTGGCCAGTCACTTCGAATATGCGTCGATTTCACACAAACACAAGGAATCCTCGCTTTATTTTTATATGTAGGTTGCACGCACCTGACTCTTCCAGTGAGTAGAGAGGCTGGCATATAAAGATTGATTGAAAGAGTAATTTGTCTGCCGCTTTCAAACGTTCAGACAACGAAAAGTATAACTAAATTTACATTTTAGATTAACGCATATGCTGCCATAGGTGTCATGCATGAAGAGTTGCTGACTCTATTTTTAGACATTTAATAATACAGTAATAATAATTTGTTTTCTTAAAGCAAAATGCTTTTGTTTACATGAAATTTCGGGCACTTGCACGTTTGTGACCGGACAGTTTATTTGACGGTCTTGAACAAACACCAGTTGAGAAACCCACTCACTTACAGAACAAAAAAGAGTAAACTTTGGGATTGTACCAGGACAGAACTGAGGATTGGGATCTTTCGGCGTAACACTGAACCTGGGAATCCGCAAGGCGGCACTTTGCCTGAGATAACCTGAGAGCCACAAAAGCTTTTTCTTTTATGCCTTGCAATAAAGTGTCTACACGAAGCAAGAAATGAGAAATAGCATAAAACTATTGGTACCATTGTGTTTTCGAAGACCTTTATTCAGCTGCCCGCACTCTGGCCCCACTCGTGTCGAGTCAACTCAAAGTGCCGTGCGCACAAGGTTTTGCATGGCCACCGCCCCCGTGCTCGCAGCGCAATACCACCTAGAAGACAAGGCCTGCGCATGACGTTTCGTTAGTAGATCCCCGACCCGCCCCAAGCGGCAAACAGCCCGAAGCTTGACGAGAGTAGGGGCCGCGTCGCAACTACGTCGCATTCACTTGCGGCCGCAGCTGGTTGGGTGACTGCTGAGCGCGAGCTGATAGCGAGCTTCCAGTGCATTTGCGACGTACACGCGAACGCTCCCTCGGCCAGGAGCGCGAGCTAGCACGCGCTCCTGGCTTTGAGACGCGCATTTCTAGCGCGCGCGCTCGTTCTGCGGTAGAACGCTTCGAAGCAGCTACCCGAGTATAAACAGCGCCCTCGAAAATGGCGTCCAGTGTCAGCGTCCAGCGTCCAACGAAGGGCTCTTCAGCCCTTCGCGCAGCAGTAAGGCAATTTCGCTCATGCATTTGACACTCCACGTGAACGTCTAACTTCATCGTATGCTATTTGTAAGAGACATTCGGCGTGAGCATCTGTTTCATTATCTGTTACACAAACCACTGAAGCAGGCGATGGAGCAGACGATGTAGCAGACGATGTTGCTCATCCGGGCTAGCTAGGGGGCGCTGAGGGGATCTACTAGTGATGACGTTTAGAGGAGGAAACGCGCAGGCCTTGTGTTCTAGGTGGTATTGCGCAGCGCCCCTGGGACTCTACATCTTTCCTCCCTTTTTAAACTGGAACATACTCAGCAAGTGACTTTGAGCCATTAACAGCAAGTAACTGTTCGTTTAGAAGAGGCTGTAATTTTTTTTTTTTTACTGTTCTATCAGTCTTCGAGGCTTGCGCCGATCTCACACAGGATACTGTCGCTCTCTGTCACTCTCATCTGCATCCATCAGCGTTTCAGCATCTTGGGTTGTACGGCTACTTTTTAGGCTTGAGACTGGATGGTGCAGGCAAGGACGCTTGAGGAGGGTAGCTGCCGCCTGCATTGTCTTCAAGTGCACTGTCTGTCGAAGCCTTGGCAGACACCTCTGATGCTTCGTCTGAACGCAGCTCGGAAAGTCCGAAGTCTTGTGAACGGGCTCGAAGCAACTGGTCCTGATGTCTTTGCCACACCTGACTCGGGGAGACTTGCACCTGGAAAGACACTGGACCAGTCTGGGCAGTGACTTCTCCTGGCTGCCACTTGCAACCACTTTGATAGTCTCTGGCATAGACATGGTCTCCTGCGGTGAAATTCCGCTCTTCACGTGGGTGTTGCCGCTGTTTGCTGTAGTGTGCATCAGCCACACAGTCAGCAACTGATTGTTTCAGGAGGTCCAGCCTGGTGTGGACACTCCGCTTTAGCATCAACTGGGCCGGGGACTCCCTTGTTGTCGGGTGCAGGGTGTTCTACTACAGAAGGAAACGTGACAACCTTGTACTGAGCGTTTTGCCCAAAGTTGTTTTCCAGAGGTAGTTTTTTATGGTCTGTAGAAACCGCTCAGCTAATCCACTTGTAGCGGGAAGGCATGGTGCCGACGTGGCCTGGGCTATACAGTGTAGGCCGCATATAACGTATGTCGCGGGAGTCGCGAAAATCTGCACTATAAGCGGTACTGCGTTATAACCAAAACATCAATTTTTCAAGCCAAAATACATGCCATCAGACAACTTACATTTGTAAAACAATTTATTTTATGTTAGATGAAAAATGAAGCTTAGTTTGAGGAAAGTCGTCTTTATTTCATCAGACTAGTACACTTCTCTCTCAAGCGTGTCACACATTTTGAAAGAAACGAGTGACTTTTGCCTGGCACGGCGTCGCGGGTTGCGGAGGGACTTTGTGAGCGTTCAGGATTGCTAACCCTAATCACTTTTCTCCGGTGATGAAAACGCGTGAAAATTCGCATCCTTTATACGGTACGCGCCAGTAATACCTTCAACTTGAGCACAGGCATGAAATGCTCCGAATAAGAAATCCGGGCGATGTTCGAAAACACAAACGCATAGAAAGAACCACTGTAGTCGAAGTAAACAAACACGACGACACAGGCGTTTCTGCCGTCTTGAGAGTGTTGCCACAACATCGCCGCACGAGTAGGTGGATCTTCCCTTCTAGTACGTGCTGGGTTATCATAGCGACACACAAGGAAAATTCCCAGTCAAGGATAGCGCTTTTACGCGGACCGATGAGCTTCCACCACGCCGCAGTTCACTTTAACGGCATCTACGTCGACGATCACAACCGACGCCATGTTAATAATAATAATAATAATAATAATAATCTTTATTTGCTCAGGAGAGCCGCGGCATCGCAGAAAGGAAACACCCCGTACCAAGGAGGCTCGCGGTGCCGCGTCTAGTGAAGGGGATTATGTGATGATGTAATATACAAGATGAAAGTGCTGATGACTAGAATATGTGTGTTAGGCCTAACAGCATTCTTCACGGTTATGGTCTTCGCGGTTGTGGTCTTTGCGGTGCTGCCATTGGCTGCTTACTTCTAGCAGGCCGGTCTCGAGCACCTGGAGTGGGCTCTTCGCGTCTCCGACTTGCATAGTAGCCGGCCGAATTACCGGCAACGCAGGGAATTCATCACCCTCCGGGCGGGCTCCAGGGGTTGGCGCCATTGTTGGCCGAGCGGCGGTCTTTACGAAAGCGGGCCTTGGAGTCTTTCAGCTTGCGGTCCAGCTTGTAACTGAGCAGCCTGAGCACCATGTCGATCGAAGACATGGTCTGTGCCACTGGTCCGGCTGGCTTTCGGACAATCTTTTCGATCGTCCGAAAGAAAATCGCTCGCGGATAGAAGCAGCCGGCCCAGCCGGCCCGCGACCGGCATGCAACGCGTGCGAACACTTCTCCACGACCTGCGATTGGTCTGTCGTTGCGGTTGTTTCCAACGCAGCGGAGGGAAGCACGCACGTGAACGACAGGTGTGTGCGTCCCTCCGTCGCTATGGCAAATGAAGCCCCTCTCTTCGCTTCTCCCCGTTTCTTCGAGCAACCTCCTTAAAGGGTAACTGCAAAGAAAAAAAAGTTTTTTTTTAAACAGCCTAGTTGGGACAAGTACGTCACAAAACAAATATCCCGCGAAAGAAAAAAATTTTTTTTACAATATTTGCGTCACAGGACGTAATTTAGTCAGAGTCACAACTCTCCACATTTGAAACTCCCGCGCTTTCGCCGCCCCCGGAGAAGAAGATCGCCCCGCCCCTCGCTCTTGGATTTGCTGTTGGATTGTCTTGGCTGCGGAGTTGAACGTACGCAGCGTCCCGATTTCCGGTGCGTCTTGTGTGCGTACTACTGTCCACAGCCTTGTGTAGCTTCTGCACTTTACTTCTGTGTCCTCGCGCAAAATGGACCCCGAGTTGAAGCGTCAGCTTCTTGACCGCAGCGAGCAGCTGGGTCTTCGGTCATTCGAAGACACGCCGCGGAGGACGGCTGCCGACAACGACGACGGCGCACCGCCCGAACCTCCCGAGCCTTCGGCGCGCTTGGACGACACCCGCTGGTAATTGAACTCCAGCTGTTCTTCGTTAGGCGTTATGCATGTCCGCGTTCTGTTATGCTCCTTTGTATTGCTTAAATGTATCACATTAATGTACAATTTCCCCCCACTGTAATGCCACCCTGGTGCTGTGGGAAAGTGAATAAATAAATAAATGAAATGAAAAGGACTGCGTCGCTGCTACCTTCTCGCGCGAGACGTCGCATGCTTCGACGAATTGGCCACTGAATGGCTCGGGTGGTACCCAACTTCCTCGATTTGTCAAGACTGAAAGAAAAAAAGTTAGTCTACTGCTGCTATTGACTCTTGCGATATTACGTGCAACCAGGTGCCTCTGCGGCCGCTGCCAGCTAATGCCGACAGCCCGCGAGTGCGTCTGCTGCCTGGAGGTTCCGAAGGTCGCCTCCAAGGCTGGTAACCGCTGCATCACCGATCACTCCGACTTTTTCGGTGGCATCCTGAATCCAGTCGTGCTCCAGATCGCCTACCGGATGAGGGCGATGGAGCTAAATGACATGGAGCTCATCGGACAGAGGAGCACCCATAAGTAAGGCTAACACCACGTCGTGTTGCATGCTGTAGACCAGAAAAGTTGATGTATTTTTACTACATTATTTGGCCTGACTTAGTAAGCAGATGCTGGGGCATGACTGACTTTTGCTGTGATTGTAATTGACCTTGCTGTCGATGGGGGCCTATTTGTTTGGTGCATAGACAATCGGCAAGAGGAGCGATACTTGTTCACATTATGTGCATCTTGTTACTATCTGAGGTGATAAGTTAATTTTACTGTGGGCTGATTTGATTGCATATAGTCCATTGTTTCTTTTTTTTTTTTTTCTAGATTCACAACATTTCTGCTCTTCAGAGCAGTCTCTTCCCCGAGTTTTTCTTGTATTCTCATGTGTCACCTAAGTCATCATTCTGGTCTTTCAACAGGAAGTACCGGTATGTGGCGTACCGGCAGTTTGTCTGGTGGATCTGGCGCCGCCTTGGCAGAGGGAACCGGATGGTCTTGCCAGCTTGTGTTGTACAGGCTATTCGAAACATGTATCCATCTGATGAATACCGGGGCTTTGAAGCTCTGTGAGCCGTGGGATTTATGAGCACACAACTTCATCCCTAAAGTTACGAGAACAGTTAATGGGTGCTCCTCTGTCCCATGAGCCCCATGTCGTTCAGCTCCATTGCCCTTATTCGGTAGGCAATCAGGAGCACGACTGGTTTTAGGATGCCACCAAAACAGTCGGCGTGATCCGTGATACAGCGGCTACCAGCATTCGAGGCGACCTCCTGAGCGGTCAAACGAACTTCACCTCTTTTTTCTTTCGAAATATCTCTTTACATTTTTTTCACCCAATTCCAACGGCTGCTGCTCGACAGTAGAAAGGATCGCACATAATTGTAAGTGACCGAAGAGGCGCTCAGAATATGTGAAGGGTCACGTTAGAACGGTGAGGTGTAAGAAGTGTACGAACGACAGTTCTGGTCCTGAAATTATTTTTGTTAAAAAAGTAGTTCCCAAGCTTTAGATTTTAAGGGTGATTACTACACAGCTAGTGTCTTGATGCTATTTGTTAACTTAGTTTCATACTCATTTATGTTATGTTGTAGGTTTTTTTCTGTGTTTCCCAGTAACATGAAACGTCTTGCATTGCACTGCATGTTGTGTTTGCGAATTGTGGTATTCGGTTTTTTCCTTTTGACTTGGTGTGCAATGTTGTATGCAAATAAAGAAGTTCTGGGAAAAAAAAGTCAGTGGAGTAAACTTTTATTGATATTTACACATGCAGTGAGGGAGGAGGGATGTACGTTATAGAAAGCCTCAGAATATGGTGGCATGTGGTTTGTATTACACTTGCCATTCATCAACGGCACACCAGTTTATGGGGGGGGGGGGGGGGGAGGGGGGGAGGGAAGGGAAGCAATGAGGGAAATTGGCACTTGAAGCATTCTGAAAAAAGAACAAACCAGACGGGAAGTTACCCACACTGCAAAAGTAACAATAAGATAGAACTGTTAAATGCAATATATTTCGACAAATCGCAAGAAAAAAAATTAAAATTGAGCCCGCACAGGACACATTTCCTTTATGCCTCGGGGTAATGTTTCGGCACGGAGGGCACACCTGGAACTTTCACGAAAGAAAAAATCATTTCCCTACACGTTGCCTACCTCATGCCCGAGCAGAGACTCGGTCACGTGGAGAAGAGTGACTAGACCACCTACGTGTGCTTCTGAAATACAAAAACACCACACAGACAAGCAGCACAAAGGCACTTACCTGCACTGCAAAGAAAGGAACAATGAAACAGCACTGCAAAGAAAGGAACAATGAAACAGCAATGCAGTTCAGTTAAATAAATCGCAGCAAAAAAATGTACCCGCAGAGAACACATTTCTCTATGCCTCGGGGTAATGTTGCAGCACGGAGGGCACACCTGAAACTCGCAGGAGGAAAATGATCGCTTCACTACGCATTACCTACCTCATGCCCGAGGTGCAGACATGGCCGTGCAGAAAAGAGCGACGTGAGCACCCACCGCTGCTTCTGAAATATAAAAACGCCACGCACAAAAGCAGCAGACAAGCACTTACCTACACTGCTAAGAAAGCAACACAGTATAGTTAGACAAACCAGCAAAAAATTGAGGGACGCACAAGGCACATTTCCTTTATGCCTCGGGGTAATGTTTAGGCACGGAGGGTACACCTGGAACTTTCAGGAAAGAAAAAATGATTTCCCTACACGTTGCCTACCTCATGCCCGGGCAGAGGCTCGGTCACTTGGAGAAGACTGACTAGAGCACCTACGTGTGCTTCTGAAATACAAAAACACCACACAGACAAGCAGCACAAAGGCACTTACCTGCACTGCAAAGAAAGGAACAATGAAACAGCAATGCAGTTCAGTTAAATAAATCGCAGCAAAAAAATGTACCCGCAGAGGACACATTTCTCTATGCCTCGGGGTAATGTTGCAGCACGGAGGGCACACCTGAAACTCGCAGGAGGAAAATGATCGCTTCACTACGCATTACCCGTTACCTACCTCACGTCTGAGGCGCAGACTTGGCTGCGTGGAACCAAAGGTGCTTCAGGACTGGTCCTGAGACGATCTACAGAGAAAATTTAAATATTAGCAACAGCTAAAAATGCTTGTATTGCCAATTATCAACAAAAACATAAAAATAATGCAGTTGAAGGCTATTGTAAAATCTATCATCCCTTGGATCAAGAGGTAGCTAGGCTATTGACATATTTATTACTGTTGAGACTGTCTTGTTATCAGAAACATTCGGTACTTGTGTTAACGTACCCGGCATGAAAGCTGAAGCGGGATCGTCTGGCCGCAATCAGGTCACTCTTGGGGGGCCTCGGGTACCTGGAACACATCGGTGGCAGATGCTGCGACGCATTCGCCTCGAGGGCTTCCCTCAGGGTCGGCCACTTTTCCAGGCAGGTCATGACCTCATCCATGAGCTCATCACGGTACTCTGAAAGACAGAATCTTGTGTCACTGTTTTGTCCCCAAACGAAGGAGCAATAACATACCAAACGTTGCGTCGCTTGGGATTGGCCGTGCTGTGGAATGGCCCTTCCGTGCTCTGGACGTGACGACCATGAAGCGCCGTACTCCTTCCCGGGTTGTGGCCTGCTCCCGCCCAACGTTTTCGTTGTAGTGCAGTACAGCAACCAGGGTTCTGCAGTGAAAACAGACAAGATATGGGCTGGTGCTTATACAAAAGAACTTGGTTCCAATGTGGAGACCGAAATGTATACATACACTTGAAGGAAGAAAGTATAGACTCCGTATTATCCTAGTTTCACGGGCGCTCTCAACTGCCATTGAGTGACCTTGTACTGCACATGTCTATCATGCTAATTCCACGAAAAGAACATTAGGGATTTTTTTTTTTTATTAAATATTGTTTTCAGAATTGGCTGCAGGCCACCATGCCAGGAATGGTCATTCAATTAGAAGAGTTGTTTACCTCGCTTCCATTCCTTCTGGCGTAAATGCCCGAGATTTGGAGGCGAACCCAATCAGCACGCTGTTAAACGCTTCCACGGAGGATGTCTGGGACCCGGGGGACAGATGCCTGATGTCCTTGAGGAGCCGCGGGCTTGAAACGATGCTCCGGAGCTTGTTGTACGCTGGGGTTCCTGGAATAAGCACACAGCTATGATGGACGCCATTCAGAAGTATTTTTATTTCTCCTACATCAGAATCGCAGGAGGGGTGTCCTGGACAAGGAACCGAGAAATGAACTTACCCTCAGTCAACCATGCACGGTCAGAAAGTGGCTGGTGCAGGCACTCGCTGAACGGTCCATCGTGGCCATCGTGCTTGTCCACCACGTGGTTCAGTAAGCTGAGCCACATACTTACTAGGAGTGGGCCGTTGCCATCACCCAGCGCTGCACAGTAGTACAGGTGGTTCGTGATTGGCTGCACCCACACCTGCAGTTCCCTCGACTCGCTCTTTCGGCTTGCTGCTTGGAGCTTCTTCTTCAAGCCTGGAAAAGTGTACAATTGTTAGCTATACATCAGAAGTGTCCACTGCCATACAGAAATTTGCCGGGTAGTCAGGTATGGCCGTGACTATTTCAATGTCTGTGAACAAACTAAGTCTACGATATTATTTCCCGAAGACATGCAAATAGCTTTCAATTAATATTTTGACAGCTTCAGGTATCATGTCAGCTTTTACGCTCTTTGCAAGGCACGGTGCTTCGCAAGTTCTACCTGAAAAAAAATCATTCTCTGTTCGACGTGTGTGGTATGTGCTCAAGATTCGAATGTGTATGGTTTGTGCTCCAGAGTTCGACGGGTGACGGGTGGTGCATGGATTTTGAACTGTTGTTCTCTCGTAAATTTAAGAAACAAAGTTTAATTTGAGTATCGTCTTATTCTGCATGTAAGCAAGGTGTTTCTTGACTGGTGTCCTGTGCAACAGACTGGGTATGGGTTCAGGCGTACAATGTTTGGTCTCGTCCTCATTCCCACGGCGATAACAGCACCAAGGAGCAACTATTCACGCTAGTGACTCACAATTGCTGTGAAATAATCTATGAAAAGCAACGTTTGATTATCTCTATACTAATGCCCAGTCTTGATTCGAACCACAGTTCAAAGGTTCCGTTTCGCTGTCTGTAAGCAAAGTGTTCGACAATGCCGTTGGCGTACAGGTCGTACAAATGACCTTTTGTGTTGGAAAACGCATCAATTTTGTTGCATCAAAGCCCTTGAAATGGTTATCTCCTTTTATTCCATTACATCCAGTGAGAACAACAATACTTCTACGAAGGAGGTCACAATAATAAAGAAACTATTTTGGCGGGTGCACGCCCTTTGGAATCACCGTCATACACATAAAAGTAATTTATAATGTTATTTTGACCACGGACTGTCGAATTAGTCACTGCCTATCAGTAAATAAAATGAAATATTGGGAAACCAACCTTTGTCAATGTGCCATGTGTCGAAGTAGTGCTTTGTGCCCCTTTCTTCGGTCCTCATGTGGTGCTCAACGCCTGGGTGACGGTCTGCATATAAGGGCTTGTATTGTAATGAACACCAAATAACAGATAGCTGGTTAACCTTACAGAGAGCCAGAAAAAAACAGTTAGGTGAGTAGCTTATGTTGAAAGTTTCACGTACCCGAGATGAAAGAGCCAATGGTGAAGTCTTCCTTCTTGAGCTTGGTGAAGCCACGGACGAAGGCCACCTTTTCCATGGCGTTGCTGGAGGGCACCTCATCTGACTGATCACAATGTGTATGCATTCATTAGTACAACAGTCACCGTACTGCAGTCTGATTGTAAGGTTCTTAGAAATATCACACTTAAAGAGACAATAAGGATGATTTCTAATTATTCTAAACAAAGGGGTGTGTGATGCAGAGTAGGCCTTTTGTTTTGGTTAGTAAATCTTACCTCACCGACTTGCACCTGCTCGATGTGAATGACTTTTTTGGTGCTCGCCTCGTGGAAGCTGTAAGTGCAATATTTTGCACTAAACCCCGGCGAGTCGCAGCGCCCATCTCCAGCTAGGTCGATGGTCTTTCCTTGGAGTCCTTCTAGAAGCTCAGAGTTGTGCCGCTTGTACACCTGGCAAGCAATTATGTCTTATAAGTTAGTTATGCTATGCCATTTTTTTATTTTTAAACCCCTTCCTATACTAACTAACCTGCTTCACAGCGGGCAGCAGGTAAGCCTGCTGGTAGTAGTGGAAGGTGCGCTCCGAGACTGTTGCGACGTTGATGGACTTGAGCAACCGCAGGGTAGTCGCAACAGGGGCTCCTGAAAACAGAATTCCCGCACAAATCAAGATATTGCCTGCTGCTTTGCCACTTACCTGAGGTTGGCTCCACCACCGCTCCACGTGGTTCTGTGCACAGGTGCTTGTTATCTTCACTTGAGTGCCCTGGACTACGATGTTGTTGCGGCAAGTGGCAAGGCAGGTGCGACACACTTTGAAGAGCTCCAGGAGGCAACCCTCAAATACAATAAATTTGCGCTCCTTCTGGGGTGGCACCTGTTCACGGTCACTGAAAATAAAAATTCAACTGTAACACACACTTGAACTTCCCTAAAAGTGCTACCTCATGAAGCTTTCGTCTGCAGAAAGCACGTAGGTGGTGTCGGGTTCACCAGGACCAGCAGACTCGTCCATATCTTGGTCTACAATGTAAGGAAGTTTGAAACGGTCATGAGTTTGCATAGCATAGTATGGACACACTTCCGAGTTGGCATCCCTCTGACAGACATCTTTGAATGTTAAGTGAGGGCCAAGCTTTCGTCTCAGACCATCACACCAAAAGAAATGTCCGGTGTGACTGTTTCGCTCTGGTGGAACCATCTCATTCTCTTTGAGGCATGTGCAGCTCCTCACCTGGGTCAGTGCCGCACTCGGCTTCGAAACGAATGTCCGACTCCTCCATGTCGGTGCTCGTGTCGCTCTCTCCGTCGGAACCCATGTCACTGTCTGAGGAGTCGTCCGTGGTGTCCTCCAGCTCACCATCGTCTGCAATCCAAGGCCTATCCAGCTGTTCACTGGGGCTTACCTGTCCTGCGCCGTGGTTACCCTCAGGTGGTATGGGCGTGCACCTGCGACGGCTTTCGTGAAGATCACTGCTGAGCTGGTCCGGGGCTCGCAGGCTGGAGGTCAGGCTGGAGGTCATGCTGGGGATTGGCGAAGGTGGCCGAGCTTGCAGTGTTGTGGCAAGTTGCACTGGACTGGGAAGCGCTCCTGGGGACTTTCCGCCTGGTTGTGGTGTGGGGGCACCAAAAACAAATGTCCGGTGGGATGGTCCCCTCTGGTGTAACCATCTCATTGTCTTTGAAGCATGTGCAGCTCCTCACCTGGTTGAGTGCCGCTCTGTGCTTCGAAATGGATGTCAGACTCCTCCATGTCGGTGCTCATGTCGCTCTTTCCGTTGGTGCCCATGTCACTGTCTGAGGGGTCATCTGACGCATCCTCCACCTCCCCATCTTTGCCTGCAATCCAAGGCCTATCCAGCTGTTCACTGGGACTTACCTGCCACGCGCTGTGGTCGTCGTCAGGTGGTATAGGCGTGGACCTGCGATGGCTGTCCTGAACGTCACTGCTGAGCTGGTCTGGGGCTCGCAGGCTGGAGGTCGTGCTGGGGATGGGCGAAGGTAGCCGAGCTTGCAGTGCTGTGGCAGGTTGCACTGGACTCGGAAGTGCTCCTGAGGACTTCCTGCCTGGTTGTGGTGGGGGGGCAGCCGCATTGCACCCAGGGTTGACCTGTGCAGCTGGAGATAGAACACATAACTTAAGCTCAGTAAGAAGTTGGCATGAAATGCTGCCGAGATTGCGATGTATTCCTAAAACACCGTACTTTAAGCATTCAGTTATACTCACACACGGGTATGACAGAATCTGCAGTGTCTGCATCTGTGGCCTCTGTTTGTGTGCCAACAGTTGCACGAGGAGCAGAGCACCTGCAGCAGTGAGCCTACAACACAGATTGCAAGAAGTACTAAGTATGGTCTAAATCTCTTGCATGCAGTAGCAACTGTACACATAGTCAGCTGAACAGGAGAGCATCCGACAGCCTACAAATAAATGCCATGGTTTCAAGCACTTGAATGTGCTTCTTGACTGACAGTCATTCACAGGTGCAGCCACTTGGTCTTTGCTTGGTTCTGTCAGTTGCTAAGTGCAGAGGAAATTATAGTGAAATGTGCAGCTTACACCTAATGTACATGCACACTGGGGACCAAAATAGCGGCAGCAGAAAACTTACTGCAGAGGGGCTTCCAACTTGGCTGTCATGGTTAGGAACAGGTGCTTGCCTTGTTGGTCCGGTTGTCAGCTGGTTAGATTGTACAGGAGAGAATGCGTTCTAAATTTTTGGGGACCAAAATAGCAGGCAGCAGAAAACTCACTACAGAGGGGCTTCCAACTTGGCTGTCACGGTTAGGCACAGGTGCTGGCCTTGTTGGTCCGGTTATCAGCTGGTTGGATTGCACAGAACAGAATGCGTTCTAAATTTTTGGGGACCAAAATAGCAGGCAGCAGAAAACTCACTGCAGAGGGGCTTCCAACTTGGCTGTCACGGTTAGGCACAGGTGCTGGCCTTGTTGGTCCGGTTATCAGCTGGTTGGATTGCACAGAACAGAATGCGTTCTAAATTTTTGGGGACCAAAATAGCGGCAGCAGAAAACTCACTGCAGAGGAGCTCCCAACTTGGCTGTCACGGTTAGGCACAGGTGCTGACCCCAGCCTTGTTGGTCCGGTTACCAGCTGGTTGGATTGCACAGAAGAGAATGCGTTCTAAATTTTTGGGGACCAAAATAGCGGCAGCAGAAAACTCACTGCAGAGGGGCTTCCAACTTGGCTGTCATGGTTAGGCACAGGTGCTGGCCCCAGCCTTGTTGGTCCGGTTATCAGCTGGTTGGATTGCACAGAAGAGAATGCGTTCTAAATTTTTGATATTTCTTCATTCAATTCTTGGTGGCGTGGGTAAACAACACTGAAGGCAAGTAGCCCGTACCCGTAGGTGCTAATCACTGGCCACAGTGATTTAGGATGTTTGTAATTGCTGGATGCAAAATATTAACTTCTGAGCTGAAACTCGCTTACCAGCGTTACAACAATTTTCGGATAAAATAGAACAGTTCTAAAACGAGACAATGCGCCACCAGAAACCTTAGCGTAGGTAGTAAGCAATTATCCCTAGAAGTTTGACTTACCGATGATGCTGCACTTGCTGCTGTTGCACTCGGTAGGAATAGCGTCGGGACCGCCCCACGTCTCCGTCGTGGACGTTCGGTGAGCGGGGTGCGAATCTCGAAGGCCTCCGGAGCGAAGTGACGCGAACATACCTGGACATGTTTGTCGCTGCGCGAGCGTCCGATTGCCTCCAGCCAAATAGCATTCAGCTTGTCATCTTTCGGGGCGACATGGCTGCTGGAAGACTCCTTGTCGCGATCACTAATCCGGCAAAACTTCACAGAGCAACGGAGCCGGTTTGCAGGAACTGACATCTCAAAAGAGTCGGCATTTGCACGCGCAAGCAACAGAAAAAAAAAAAAAAGAAGAAAACACGCTAAGGAAGCTAAGTTGACCCAGGAAAACGGAAGTAACAAACTGCGCTATAACAATAAACCCGCGTCGATTCCTATCACTAAAACTTGCGACAGCTGCTAAACACACACCACTTCACTTCAGGATGTCTTACTCAAGCACCTGGGTCAACACGAAATACTCACTTAGACGAAACGAACGAACTACGCGCGACAGCCGGGAGCAGACGTCGGCTGCTTCGGCGGCCACGAAAAGAATGGCGGAGCTTTTGTTTGTTATGGTATGAATTCAAACGGAAGTGGCCTTCTTGTAAACCTTTTGTAAAGAATAAAAGCTCTCATTACGTGGGTTATTCTTTAAACGTAAAAATATGCCGCTTAAAAGGAAATTGCAGCATACAACAAAGGTTTAACAACCAAGACCAAAGCTGTCAATCAAACTCTTAGCCAATGAGAACCTGTTGGGATTGACGACACATAATCACAACTTCGTGGCGCGCGATTCAAAACGGACGAAATAGCCGCAAACTAAAATGAGTCTCACGCAATAAATATTGCTGTAAAAATTTTTTTTTCTCGCGGAAAAATTGTTTTTTGACATGCTTGTCCCAATTAGGCTATTTAAAAAAAACTTTTTTTTCTTTGCAGTTACCCTTTAAGGGGTGTCCAAACAGGACACTACAAAACTCACGACTCCGGCAAATCGTGAAAATTGAAGCGGACGCTTCTATTTTTACGGTCTGTCGGAGTCGTGAAAATGTTTGCAGGAGTCGTGAAAATTTTTACGACCACGACTGCTCTCCTCTTCAGATTGACGTCACACGCCACCTGCGTCTGGCTCACCTCGCCAACGCCCTCGCGTACCGCCGTCGCCTCGGCTCGAAGGCCAAGGAGGTCCGGCTTTGGGTGGATTTGGGACATTCCTGCGTCAAAGGGTGCGTTTCGCCCGCCTCGGATCTGCTTTCTTTGTCGAGATTCACTTTCGTCGTGATGGCGTCCGATGCGGTTCCGTATTCTAAGCGGAGGCCTTGAGCGATTGACCGACAGCCAACAAAGCGTGTGAGTGGCTCTCCGGACCCACGTGATGAGCAGAGCAAGGCCGCCGTGGAGGAAGCGAGGGGGAGATTCGACGGAGGGAAGTTTCCCCCCGGAAAGAATTGACGGAAGGAAATTTCGCTCCGACGGCCGGAAGCGGATCGCGGCAGAGCGCGGCACGATTTGCCGGAGTCGTGAGTTTTGTAGTGTCCTGCTTGGACACCCCTTTACCCCGCGAGTGTCGCTTTGCGGCTCGCGCCGCTATCAAGTGTCGCACAGGGAAGCGTGCTCGCTGCGCCGCTCAGTCGGCGCGCTGTTCCAAAAACCGCACTATAACCGGTATTTCCCTTCGCGCGCCTTCATTTTAAGTGGTATGTAAATACGGTGTAGACCGCATATAACGTAAGTCGCGGGAGTCGCGAAAATCCGCACTGTAAGCGGTACCGCGCTATAACCAAAACATCAATTTTTCAGGCCAAAATACATGCCATCAGACAACTTACCTTTGTAAAACAATTTATTTTATGTTAGATGAAAAATAAAGCTTAGTTTGAGGAAAGTCTTTATTTCACCAGACTAGTACACTTCTCTCTCAAGTGTGTCACACATTTTGAAAGAAATGAGCGACTTTTGTCTAGTGCAGCCTTTTAATGGCGTCGCGTGTTACGGACGTTGCGAGCGTTCAGGATTGCTAACCCTAATCACTTTTCTCCGGTGATGAAAACGCGTGAAAATTTGCATCCTTTATACGGTACGCGCATGAAATGCTCAAAAAAAGGCATGAAATGCTCCAAATAAAAAATCCGGGCGATGTTCGAAAACACAAATGCTGAGAAAGCACCACTGTAGTCGAAGTAAACATCACGACGACAAGGACGTTTCTGCTGTCTTGAGAGTGCCGCCACGAGTAGGTGGATCTTCCCTTCTAGTACGTGCTGGGTTATCATAGCGACACACAAGGAAAATTCCCAGTCAAGGATAGCGCTTTTACGCGGAACGATGAGCTTCCACCACGCCGCCTACGTCGACGATCACCACCGATGCCATGTTTGTGGATAGAAGCAGCCGGCCCGCGACCGGCATGCAACGCGCGCGAACGGCTGGTTGGCCTTGCTAACTCCTTGCGCCGCGAACAACATGTGCGTGCGTCCCTCCGTCGCTATGGCAACTGAAGCCTCTCTCTTAGCTTCTCCCCGCTTCTTCGAGCAACCTCCTTGGCCCCGCAAGTGTTGCTTGCGGCTAGCGCCGTTATCTGGTGTCACACAGGAAAGCGTGCTCGTTATACCCGGTCCTGCACTATAAGCGGTTACGCTGTAACTGGTCTATACTGTACTGTTGTTCTTTAAGAAAGCTCAAAATTCCTCAGACACTAACTGGAACCTGTTGTCAGAAACCATGGTTGTGGGCAAGCCAAAATGTGTAAAGCTCTCTTGTGCACACTGAATGATGGCCTTCAACATCGTAGACTCAGACGAACACCTCTGGTCATTTGGAGTGAGCATCCACTAGGACGAGGAACATTTTTCTCCGTGAAAGCTCCCGCCAGGTCTACATGTAGCTTCCCCCATGGACGCGTCGGCCATGCTCAAGAATGTAGGGGAACAGCAGACGGGTTGTGTCGGTGCAGCCGACAGATGGTACATCCTCCGATTTCTTTTTCAATGTCCTTATTAATCGATGCCACCAAACATGACTCGTAGCCACTTTCTTAGTGCGCACAATGCCATAATGGTCCCCATGAAGTTTTTCTAGGACCCTATTCTGCAGTGTCTTCAAAATCACCACCCGTAGACCCCACATGAGGCATCCTTGATGGAGTGAAAGCTCATTGCGGCGTATGTGAAAGGGCACATACTCTGGATCGATTGGCTTGTGTTCTGGGCTCCAACCATGCTTTACTCTTTCCACGATCTGACTTAGGAGAGGGTCTCTGGACGTCGCCCATGCAATGTCTTTACATTTGAGGGACATTGTCAAAGTACTCGCAGTAGAAGGCGTAAGTTTCGTCGACAGCGTCAGTGTTGGTGCCGTCTGCTGCTTTTGGCAGTCTTGACAAGCAATCCGCGTTGGGATTTTCCTTGGAAGACCGGTGGATGATGGTTTAGTGGCGTGCGGCTAACTGACAGGCCCATCTCTGAAGCCCCGCTGCTGTCATCGTAGGAATTCTGCTCGTTGGGCCTAGGATTTTCTGTAAGAGAGCGCGGTCAGTGATCAGCATGAAGTGATAGCCATACAAAGAGTAGTCGAATCTCCATATTCTAAATAGGATAGCTAGGCCTTTTTTTTCTAACTGAGAATAATTCTTCTTGTGCTCAGTCAGGGCCCTGGATGCAAAAGCTACTGGCCGCTCTGTTCTATCTTCAAACACGTGGGACAGGACTGCACCTACTTCATACGCCGACGAATCACATGCAGGTATAATGGGTCGACATGGGTCAAAATATGTTAGGACTGGTGCTGACGTCACTAGCTTCTTAAGCAAGTCAAAGGAGTCTTGACAGTCTGTGCTCCATTCCCATGCTGCATTCTTCTGCAGTAGATGATTAAAAAAATCCATGGTAGTAGTTGCCAAATTCGGTTGAAATTTGCCATAGCAGCTAGTAAGCCCAAGGAATGAATGCAACTCTGCCTTGTTGTTTGGAGTGAGTGCATCTCAAAGTGCTGCTACTTATCCTCCATGGTTCGTAGACCATCCTGACTGATCACATGACCGAAGTATGTAATTTCCGTTTGGAAGAATTTGCACTTTTCTTTCTAAAGGGGTATTCCTTTTTCTTGTAGTCGTGTTAAGACTGCTTTTAAGTTTTCAGGATGCTCACCCTTCGTTCTGCCGGTCCCCAAGATGTCATCTGGGTAGCAGGGGGTCTATGGTAACCCTTGGAGCACTTGATTTATGATTCTTTGAAAGATGAAGGGTGCAGACGCTTTGCCAAAGGGAAGACTGTTCACTTGGAGCAGCCCCAACTGGGGGTTTATAGTGAGCAACTTCCGCGCTGCAGGATGCATCTCGCTTTTGAGTGGTCCACCTTGGAGAAAACCTTTCCTCCTGCCAACGTTGCAAACATCTCTTCTACGCTGGGGAGTGGATAGTTGTCGACCTCCAAGCATGGATTGATTGTCGACTTGTAGTCACCGCAGATTCTTATGTCTGCATTCTTTTAGACAACCGGCACGATGGACGACGCAAACGCCTTGCTATCCACCGGGGTTAGGATCTCTGCCTCCTTCAAAGCCGTCAGTTCTTTAGAGACTGCTGCCTTTAGGGCATGGAGTACTGGTCCTACCTTGAGGAGCTTTAGTGTACCCTCTGTTTAGCTTGAGGTGAGCTTCAAACCCCGGAAGACGGCCCAGATTGTCTGAAAACACCTGAGCAAAGTTCTTCAAAAGCCTGACGACTTGTTCCTTGTTCCCCTTCTCCAAGTACTGGGCAGACTTGATACTAGCCCAGTCGAGCCTCAGCAATTCTAGCCAGTCACGTACCAAAAGTGGGGGATCCTTGAAGTCCACAATCTGCAGCGGCGAATTGGGAACTTGGTCTTGGTACTCCACTTCTACCTGTGTCTCCCCTACCGGCTTCAGCTTGTTGCCCGTAAATGCTCGAAGAACAACTCCACTCCTTCCCTTCACCAGGTTAGGGAGCCTCTTCTTGTACAGGTCTAGCGGGACTACAG